TCTCAGACTCAAATCTGCTTGAAAAGTATCCATCTCCAAGCCACAACTTTACCATTTGTTTCCAGATGCATGAAGCCTTACTGTAATGAGGATGAGGAAGTGGTACTTTGCACATACTCCAAAGTCCCCTCTCTAACTGTAAATGTGGCAGAAATGTGGCAGCAGTATAAGGTCCTACTCTGAAGGGAAATGGATATTGTCAAATAAATTGGGAAGCAAGGAAGATTCTATGGGTACACTATAAAGGCATAAAGGCTGCAGGAGAAATGACTGCCTCCATTCTTTCCGAGAGCAGAAAAGCATGGCTTTTGTCACACAGTGAACAGCTGCACAACAGACAGAAATTCCACAGGTGCAGTGATTCCCTCCTCCTCCTCTCCCAGGCTTGTTGTTGGTATGTGCCTTCAAGTTGTTTCCGACTTAGGTGAACCTATCATGGGGTTTTCTTGGCATGATTTGTTCAGAGGGGGTTTGCCGTTGCCTTCCCTTGAGGCTGAGAGCATGACTTGCCCAGGGTCACCCAGTGGGTTTCATGGCCAAGCTGGGAATCGAACCCTGGTCTCCAGAGTGGCAATTCAGCACTAAAACCACTATGGCACACTACATGTAGAGTTTCCATGTATTGTGCAGCTGTTGCAAGGTGCCCATGAACTGGCATGATGAGAATATGAGCAACAGACTCTGGCAGGTAACAAAAGTGCTCCATTTGCAACCACCTTTTCAGCCTGATCCTCAAAGCTGTAGTGAACAGCAGTGATGTAAATGCCAGATGAGGAACAAGGCCAGCCCTTTAGTGAAGAATGCACAGGACAGTCCAGCCACCTTTCCTTTCTCACAGTCCTCTGAGCACAGCAAATGACATAAGCCAGCTGTGGCAAAGGCCACACTCCTACACCTGAGGCAATGGCTGGTCAAGGAGAGCCAACCGGGAGGTCCAGGCATCCCATGACTGGCTGTGAGGCAGGAGAGGGAGGTGAAAGTGGTCAAGAAGGCCCCCTCCATACAGACACCTGGCTTGGGACTTCCCTGGGAGATAGCCAGTGTGGCCTAGTGGTTTGAGTGTTGGACTTCGACTCTGGAGATCAGGGCAGTCAGAAAGGATTTGAAGGTACACCACAAAAACAGGGACTTCCTGCAGAGACCTTGGGCCAGTCACTACTTTTCAGCCTGACCTATCTGGTGGGGTTGTTGGGAAGATAAGGTAGTCGGAGGAGCCTACAGCATGGTACAGCGGGCTGACTGCTGGACTGCGACTCTGGAGACCAGGGTTCGAATCCCAGCTTGGCCATGTAAACCCACTGAGGGCCCTTGGTCAAGTCACACACTCTCTGCCTCACGGGGAAGGCCAGGGCAAAGCTGCTCTGAACAAAATTTGCCAAGAAAACCCAAGGATAGGGTTACCCTAAATGGGAAAGGGAGGCATGCCACATACATAGTTAACTCCTACCACAATGATACACAGTATCTCCCAGCACAATTTTGCACTTATTTATTTCTCTACTTAGGGTCACCCTCAGTCGGAAAGGACTTGGAGGCACATCACCACCACCAGCACCACAGGGCCTTCCCTAACTGGCCTTGGACTAGTCACTACTTTTCAGACTGACTTTTCTCATGGGGTTGCTGGAAAGTTATGGTGATTGGAGGAACCTACAGTGTGTTGTAGTGGTTTGAGTGCTGGACTGAGGCTCTGGGGGCCAAGGTTCAAAACCCTGCTAGCCAATGGAAACCCACTGGGTCCCTTCACACTCTCTCAACCTCAGTTTAGTCCTGGACTGTGAGTCTGGAGACCAGGGTTCGAATCCCAACTCGACCATGAAAACCAACTGGGGTGCCCTTTGTCAACGCACACTATCTCAGCCTCAGTTTGAGTCTTGGGCTGTGACTCTGGAGGGGAGGGTTTGAATCCCAGCTCGACTATGGAAACCCACTAGGTGAGCTTGGCCAAGTCCCACTCTCTCAGCCTCAGGAGAACAGCCAGAGGAAACCCTCTATGAACAAACCTTGCCAAGAAAACCACAGGACAGTCTCCCTAAGTTGGAAAGAAGGCACACAACACACACCCACAG